ATTGGTTTAGAAAAGGTTTTTTTTTTAACCAATTATTAAAGCAGGTTTATTATTCGAATATGGAAGTTTGAAAGGACAAACATATTTTACTTTGCGATTAGATTATTATAGTATTTTTATTTGCTCGAAATGATGGGAACAATACATATTTAAGGTAATTAAAAGATACAATTTCAAAATTAACAAAAATGTTTTAAAACTTAAAAAATAGGTCATAATTGAATTTAATTAATTATAAATATTTTATTAATTAAATAAATTAAGGTCACGGTACTATACAATTTATGGTCACAATTATAAAACGTCATAATCACAAATTTTAAAAGTCACAACTTATTTATCTTTCACGAATTATCAAATTAGTTGATTACGTATTTTGATCATTAATCATAAATTTTATAGGTCACAATTTATTAATAGATCATAAATAAAAAAATTTATAAGCAACAACTTATATTATGGTCACAAATTATTAAAGTAATTGATCAAAACTTAACAAATTATAAGTCATGATTACAAATTGGTTAATGCTACATGTATTGAATTTTTACATAATCCGTTACCGACTAGTCACAATAGGGGGTGAGGTGAGGATCACATATTGGGATTTTTTTTATTCACGTGGGACCCACGTGCATGTGAGAGGGGGTAAACAATTCAGTAGAGGGTATTATGTACAAATAGATTTATCCTTACAAATTTAGTTACAATCTCGTAATTTTAAGGTTACAAATTATCTATTTTATCGGGTCACAAATTAACCAATTTATTGTCAAAATTACCCAAATAACAGGTCACAAACACTCTTCATCCCCCTACCGACACCAATCGAATGTCGCATCATCTCACCACCACCGCCTGCACCACCGCATTTGTGACCACCGCCGCCACAAACACCGACGAACATCGCGTCATCTAGATCCATTGCTAGCACCACCAGCACTACCGTCTGCACCACCATCATCTATCGCTTGTACGACCACCACCTCACCACAACTATTTGCAAACCGCCAACCACGACCAACAAAAAACAACATAAAACCTCGGCTAAGGAGCAGATGAGAAAGATACAACCCAAAAACTAGCAGATCATCGCTACCACGCAGGTTAGGAAGAAACAAACCTAGCAGACCAGAAACAAACCCAACAGATAGCAATGCTGCTGTAACGTGCAGATCATCATCATTGTGCAGCGACAGCGCTACGACAGATCATCGCTTCCTGATCTATCGTTTCTGCACTACGGAAAATCAACGTCGCTGTACAGAAGCTGCGTACAGGAGATCATCTTCACTGCTCAACGACGATGCGCACAAGCACCACTCGTTGCTTTGAAGCGAAGTCTCCGTGAGCTCTGTGCCGACGTGCTTTTCTGTGATGGTGTGTGATAAAGAGAAATAAGAGAGAATGGAGAGGATAGAGATTAGAGTTTGGAATGAAAATTTGATGGCGTGAATGGAGGTGAGTTGGGTATGTAGATTAATTTAATGTTATAATATTATTATTAATATTAAAAATTTGAATTATCACCTTATTTTTGAATAAAAAACTTTTAAATCTAATTTTTGAATTGGAAAATTAAAAAAATGTGAAAGTGTAATTTCCACCGAAATAAATTTTTGGAGACTGGGAAGTTAGGGCTGAAATTAGGCCTACTGGAGTTGTGATAGGTTGGAAAATTGGAATCAAAAAATTGTGAGAAAATCAGGATGTGACCATCCCACGTTAGATGATGAAAAGTCACTTAAACACTTAGTCCATGTTTGGACTCCAATGTGACCATTCCACGTTAGATGATGAAAAGTCACTTAAAACACTTAGTCCATGTTTGGGCTCCAAACTCATTTTAACCCACATATTCTCTCATAAAATAATATTACACGCTCATTTTTTTAACAACACATTTTCGAAAAATTCACAATTTCAAAACATATTTTTTAGGGAAAAATTCACTTTCCCTACTTTATTTTTACCCTATTTCAAAAATAACAAAACAACTTTTACATTTTACAAATCAGAAATTTTGACTTATACATACACATTTATATAAATATTTATTTATACATATAAATAA